CATGTCTCTATTTGTTTTCCTGAGTAACCCCTTTGAAGGTATCAGTATGTAATACAACCATTGTTAATTCCCTCTCACCTTGTCTGTAACTCAGTATTGCTCGTATTGATTTTGTGCTATTTTGTAAATGGATGTCTGTTTGTTAATATGTTTTTGTTCTTTTATTTTTAAAATAAAAAAAATCTATATCTTTTTCACATGCAAAAAAAAAAGAAAAGAAGGACCCTGACTGAAAGTAAAAATAAAAAAAGTTAAAAAGGGCTGGGGTGCAGCTCAGTATAAAGGCCCAGGAGTAAATCACCAGTATAGAAAAAAAAAGTAGATGAAATATGTTTATTTTTTAAAATTTACATTGGGAGTACATTGTAAAAAGTAATAAAGATGAAGACAAAGTAGTATTGGCTTTTACTCTAATTGGAAATTCACGTTCTTTTAAGTATAGCATATCCAGTTATATCTAAAACAGGAAACGACATTGTGAGAATAAGATAGAGCCAAGTATTTATTTTCTTAAAGAAATAATGTCCTCTTAGAAGAGGAAATGGCCCATAATAAAATACAAAACTGTTAAAATTGTAGTTGTGTAAAAATATATCATCATGATACATAAAAATTTATGAAATCAACTATTAATATAACAAATGCTAATATAAGGAGTGAGGAACAGGTTTTATAAATGAAACCAAGCCATTGTTTGAAGGAAATGTGCAGAGAACTGTACATTCATGCGTGGCTATGAAAAAAGTGTTGTCCATTAGCATATTTCTCCAGGAATGTCTGGCAATATGTATAAAAGTCACCAACATATACCTAGCCATGGACGCAGTCATTTTACTTGAAGAATCTACTTGTGTTAGTCAGAGAGAAAAGGTCTATGTAGCATATTCTATTATCTGTTAGAGATCTACTTACTTCTTCTTAATTGTACTAGCATGAATGTAGATGCCAATTACAAAATAAAGAATATACAAAATTTATATAGGGGCAAAATTATGCTAGATTCATAGAATATGATATTACAGAGGTATAAGAATTATGATGATATATTTCTACGCTTGGAAATATTTAGTATACTTTGTTATGCATAAAAAATTCCAGCACAAAAGAGAAAGAAAAATCTCTTTTAAAATATGTTTCCATTTTACATAACAATGTGAAGAGTATGGTGAGGGTTGTGGGGTTACTTCTGTGCCTTCAGGAATGTTTGTCTTCTCCTGTCCCATCCCCCATTAAAAAACTGTAAGTTGGGAGTCAGGGAGGGAACTTCATACTTTGCACCACAAGCAAAGACTAAATCTAAAATATATAGCTTAAAACTATAAAAAAAATTAGAAGAAAATATAGGAAGAATTTCTTTTTGTTTTGGCAGAGATAAAGTGACACTAGAAGTATAAGCCATAATAAATTGCATTGAACTTGATCAAAAGTGACAAACTTGCTTTGAGAAAAAAAATTAAGAAAATGGAAGGCTAAATCACAGCATGGGAGAAAACATTGTAAAGCAGGTACGCATGTGAGCTTTTACTCAGAATACATAAAATACTCCCTAAGCTTAATAATAAGACAACAAAAATTTATTTGCTTCTTTGTTTTTTGTCTTTTTTGGAGACAGGGTCTCGCTATGCAGTTCAGGCAGGTCTTGAGCTTGCAACAATCCTCCTGCCTCAGCCTCCTGAGTGCTGGGATTACAGGTGTGCGCCACCATGCCCGGTTGACAGCAAAAATTTTAAAAGACAAAAATATTCAATAAACACTTCATCAAAATGATATATGCACAACAAAGCTTCACACTGAGGAGTGTTGAATGTCATTAGTCATTGAAAAATGAAAACTACACTTTAATGACTAAAATTAAAATGGAACGCTTCATCCACTGCTGTCGGCGTGTAGAGGAACTAAAATTCTCATACACTGCTGATGGGAAAGTTAAATCATACAACCCACTTAGACAAGTTTAGAAATTTCTATTAATATCAACTGCATGGCTCAGCCTCTTCATGTTCTAGTTGCCTATTCAAGAGAAAGAAAAATAAATATCCACGTAAAGATTTGTGCAACGGTGTTTATAGCAGCTTTATTTCTAAAACCAAACTCTGGCAAATAACCCAAATGTTTAGCAACAGGTAAATTAGATACAGAAATACAGTCAGTGGCATTAAAGCCACTTTTAATTGTGAAGCGAAAGGAGACACTATTTGGGGTGATGGCTCGTTATTTTGATTGTGGTGATAGCGTTAAAGGTGTATTCAGATATGAAAACCTCAATACCTACACTTTAAACATGTCTAACTTATTCTATGCCACTTTTTATCCAAGTAAAACTGTTCTTATAAAGCAAAAAATAGTTTTTAACTTCTTCTAATACAGTACTTTTTTTGTTTTTTCCGGTACCAGGGATTGAACTCATGACCTTGCACTTGCGGGCAGGTGCTGTGCCGCTGAGCTAAATCCCCAGCCCCTCTAATACAGTATTTCATGAGTAGGAATTACTTATTTTCTGAGTTATTATGATACAGGATTTTATGTCTATGGTTGTTATTATTGAAGTTAATTTTCACTCCGCTTTAACTATATATCAACAGCTATTTAATGTTTTAATTACATGCCTTGCTTATCATTAAACTTTTGTTTTACAATTCTTTCAGTTCTTAGGCGTCATTCTTGTTTGCTGTTGTCTTCCTGGTCTGTAACTTTGAAGATGTATGGGCAATTAATTTTCTAAGACATTCTGACATTTCTTTTTTTTTTTTTTTTGGTTTTTCTCCGGTGCCAGGAACTGAACTCACGACCTTGCGCTTGCCAGGCAAGCACTTTGCTGCTGAACTAAATCCCCAGCCCCAACATTCTGACATTTCTTTGTTGGGTGAATCTTGCTTGAATAAAAAGTTGGGGACGCACAAAAAAATTGGAAAGTATATTCTGCAAATACGTTGTATAGGCACAGTTATTCACATTAAATACTAATACATATTTCTTGCCCTAAATTTTTTATTTCTATTCCTGTTTTAAAAGAAATTAACCCATTTTAATAGTATATTGTGCCTTCAGAAGAAACCAGACAAAACATGAAATATATGTGTGATTTTTCAGGCATAAGCAGGGTTTCAAGAGCACAGTTCCGGACAGCGACACCTGCGGAGGCACATTGCTCTCTGAGCTCTTTAGCGTGGAGAGCTAAGGTAAAGAGGAATCACAGGGAGACTTACCTGCCTCCTATGAAGTGAAGGAAGTAGATAGATCGCCCTGGATGGCTGGGAGTTTGAGACTATCGTATGCTCTTCCCTAAGATTTGCCCTCTGAGAAAATCTGACTATGCCCTCAACTGAATGAGGCCTAAAATATGCGTTTATACAGCATTTGGTGTTGTCTTTATATTATCCACTTTAGAACAAGTTTGCTAAGATATCCTTACCATCTGATGTCATTTGGTGTGTGGACAGTTTCCCATACTCTACTCTCTTTCCCATACCCTACTCTACTTTCCCATACTCCCATACTCTCCCATTAGCCCTGTTTATGCCATACTCCCTGAACTCCCTTTCACCAGAACAGATATGTCAGCTTGGGCAGAATCCACCTGAACCCTATGTTCACTTTCAGTACTTTTCTGTCCATTGATTCCTCTCTGCCAGATCCTTGACGATAGATTCACAGTAGCCCACGTTGTGTTCAGGGTTGTGTCTCTTCTCCCTCTTTCAGTGCAAATTCTCATTGCGTGTGTCTATATATCTGTGGCAATGTCTCCATGTAACAAAATATTCCTTATTATCTTTATCAAATACCATGCATATAGTTTAATGTATCTAATTAAGACAGATTCAGACTGAGGTTCTCCGAAAAACATATCCAGATCCTGGAGGCCTGAGCGTAGTTAAGAGAACCATCAGTATCAATTATTAGAACCAATGTATCTATGTAAAAATGTTAACAACAATGTGAAAATACACTCTGGAAAGTCATAGAAAGAACAAAAGCAGGTAGACACCATGAAAACATCAGCGAATAAGATACTTATGCAAAGTATAAGATGTGAACATAAGAGAAACGTATAGTTGAATTTTACAGCATGGGAGGGGTCTGAGTTTCCAAGGGTGCTCTGACTGTCCCCAGATACGAAAGCTACCACGGGCGCACCTGTCACACTAGCATCTGCTAAGGGAGGGATGTCACACTCACTGCTTCCAGGAACATCTCCTCTCACAGGAGCACAAAGAGGCTCCCACACTTCCCTGAAATACCACCTTAGTTACTTATTTATCTGATCTAGTTCTGCACAGATGACACTGATGAAATTCAAAGCCCGATGTGTCCAAGTGAATCAGAATTAAACCTGAGACTATAAAATTCTCACAGATGATATACCTCATCCTCCTCACAGAGCTTGCAGGTACAGATACACTTGATCTTAGCCAAAAGGCCAAGAAGCGACAAGCTTGCAGGTACAAGACACATGGCATACTCCTACTCCTTACATGGGATAAATACACAATTTATTTGAGAGATTAACTAGATGTCTACTGTAAGAAATCTATCAATGCAAGTGAACATAAATTTTGTGGCCTGTATGTAGATGCATTTATTATATACTGCATGTGTTGCACTGTATGTGTTTGAAGAACCATTATCAGACTTTGTTAGGAGGAAATTTTGCTTTTGCCTCTGGGTGCAAAACTTATGCCAACAGTTTGCTTGTGTTTTTAGGAAGCGTCACTTGATGCTGTGCAGTGACTCTAGAGGATGCAGGAGGTGAACAGTGGCATAAGAGAGAGAACTTCTAATTCTGAAGCAGGAAGCTGAAAGGAAGGAAAACAGAACCATCTCTTTCCCTCTGAATAAAGAAATATCAGAACAAAACCACGTTTCACTAAGGACAGTTACTGGGGAAAGGAGAAGGGAAGGAGAACAGACATAGAGAGATTGAGTAAGCATTTAGAGATAACCTGGGAATCACCCATACTGACAGCCAAGCAGAAAACCAATCAATACATAAATGCACTTACTGCACGCGAATAAAATTCTTGCCAGGGTCATTGCTTCCGCTTTGTATGACCAAAGTATAAAGCGGGAATAAAGCACCAATCATCACATCTGCATCCTTGCTGACACTCTGTTTCATTCGGAAAACACAGTCAGAATCATCAGTGGTGCAAGCAAAGAGGGGAAGATGGAGGAGCAGGAAGATAATGCAAAGGAGCATCATAGATCTCTCGGCGAAGTCCTAAGTATGTAAAAAGTTGGAATCTGAAGTGTCGGGCAGGTGTGTACCTATATCACGTACTTGTACCTCTGTGTGAATGCAATTTTATTGTGGACTGGAGTGACTGATCTACTTCTTCCCAACTTCTTTCGCTCCTGTGGAGGAACCTGGTGTACTTCGCCCTGAAGCTCTGCATCTGAGCTCCTGCATCAAGGTGAAAAACACAAGTTGCAAAATATGTTTGGAGACCATCCTCTCCAGCCCCAGGGGCCATGATTTCATCCTAGTCCGTGGGTAGCAAGACCCCTGGGATTCATTCCCTTTGCTCAGATTTGGTTCCAGCCCTGTGTCAATTCATTTTCATCAGAGCTTTGGGATGATGCAAATGGACTGCATCTAAGGACTCCATGTTAGGTGTAAGAAGAAGGGTAGGAAACGTCCCACTGACACTGCTCAGCCGGAACCACTGGGGAACCATGTTCCCCAAAGAAGATACGGAGAGAAAGTCTCACATACATAGGGTTCAAAGCAGCCACTGAATATTTCTTCTAAGGACCATGGAGGTTTTCACACCAATCGTATATGTAGAAGTCCCCACAAAGTATGTGTTTCCGTTGCCTGGAGGAATAAATAATCACGCTGAATTTAGACATTGCAAATCAGCAACTCAGTGTTAAAAATGAAGTGAAATTTCATATTTACTTTCTGAAATTTCCTCTTCTTTCCTACTACTATCTTCATGCACTGAATTTATAGATCTATTGCTATGATCAGTCTCTACCACCTTGCAATCAGGATCACTCATTTACATTTTTTTTACTACACGGGACCATGCCAAAAGTTCCTCTATAAGATAATTTGTGAAAATCCACTTTTATTTCTGACCACTCAAAATATTGAGGATAAATGTAGTTTGGGACAGACTTCTATGGCCATGGAGCACAGGGTAGATTCAAAGTACTATTATTACTGTGTGTGGTAGTGTACTGGTGCATACATGTTAATAAGCATTTGCCAAAATCTACACAATGTACAACAGAAAGTGTGAATCGTAATAGAAATTATGGGCTTTACTTAAAATGACAAATCAGTATTGGTTCATCAACTGTGCCATGAACTAATGCAACATAGTTATAGATGAAACACTGTGGTTGGTTCATGGCATACCGTGCACGGTACCTATCTACACTTTCTGATCTATTTTTCAATAAACTTTTGACTGTCTGAGAACATCGTCTACTAGTATTTTTTAATATACATTCTAACTAGGCACATACTGGTCACATGTCAGTAACTGAGCATTTGAAATTTAGCTATAAAAAGGAAAGGACAATTATGAGTATAAATGTATTTCAAATATCTTCTATGAAACATAAATGATTGACATTCAAAATATAATTTCATATTATCTACATGTTATACACTAAAATTATGGATCTCTTAGTTTAATCAAAATACGTAATAAAGTCTAGGTTCTTACATGGGTAGCGACTTAAGCATTGTACTGTGCTTTCAATACACACATGGAAGATTATCACTGAGCAGGAAGTTCTACTGAAGTGAACATCACATCAAGGTGTAGTGTGTGCCACTTTCAGATCCACCTATTCTAACTCAGAGTAGACTAGTGCTATTCATTAAAGGTGTCTCCACAAAGGATACGTGAAGCCCTAATGCCTGTACCTGTGAATGTGGCCTCATTTTGAAATAGGATATTTGCAAATGTCATCACATTAAATGGGGTCATTCATATGAGCCTTAATGCAGTATGATTCGGGTCCTACGGAGTGAAGTGGAAGGCATAAATGGCAGAAATAAGGTGACATAGCTGTAGTGCAAGGGTTGCTAAGATTGAGTGCTGTCACCAGATGCTAAGAAGACACAAGGGAAGATTCTACCCAGAGGCCCATAGGGTGCGTGACCCCAGTGAAAGCTTATTTTGAACTCTTATATTCAATAACCAAGAGAATAAATTTGTTTTGTTATAAGCCATGCATTTTTGGTTTCCAGTGATAGGATCCCTGGACAAGAATCCAGGTGTGGATAGCTGGGAAATTACAACACAGCAGCAAAAAGCAAACAGAAGTAGATGATAGGGGGTTCATTGTCTACCTTCATGGTAAGAGAGACTTCCAGAAAGCTAGAGCCAGATGTTGCTGATGTTCTAGACTTCTCTATGGCCTCAGGAGATGAAAGGTCCTGTTTGACCTTCAAAGGCATGTTTGAGGGCACAGATAAAATATAATGAGGAACTGACTTGGGGGGATGTACACTTTGATCTAAATGTGTTAAATTACAGCATAAGGAGTTCTCAAAATCTGATGAGGACTCGAGCCCATATTGTGCTTCCCCACATATATCTCTTTTTTCTTTCATATTTTTTAAGAAGAGTGAGACCTTGTAAAACTCATAATGAACCCAACAGTCCTTCTTGGTAAGTGAGTTTTTCTCTTCTCAATTCCGAGTTTGATTTCTAAAGCTCTTCTTTATTTCACATTAAAATGGGGAGTTTGGGGAAGGTAAAATCTGTTATAAACTGTGGGGTAGTTGAGAAACAGCCTTTAAGTGACTGCGGCAAATTAAAAATGCTGGTGCACAGGAGGAAAATGTTTAATAATGAGCAATTTCCGGCAATCGAGATTTGAGAGATGAACTTACTGTGAGCTAATCAGACCCGAAGAAAGTAATATCACAATGCAGTGGCACTAAGTATACTTACTCACTTATAAAAGGGAAGGAAAGAATACTGCACATCAGAAGTATGTAACATTGAAAAGATTACTAACTGAAAAAAATATATATACTGAATTCATCCAAAAATGCTAAGACTGAGAATAGGCCTTGCGGGGTGGAGATATAGCTCAGCGGCACAGCGCCTGCCTGGTGAGCGCAAGGTCGTGAGTTCAATTCCCAGTACCAAAAGAAATAAAATAAATTTTAAAAAAGAGAATAGGCCTTGCAGTTATAAGACCGTCAAGTCAGAAAGCTGCCAAGACAGAGTGGTTAGTTAGGAAGGGGTAGATGTGACAAAGGGTAGAGCAGGCAGAGCAGTTATATGAGGAGGTTCTAAACCCCAAAATGAGTTTGAAAATGAAGAGTAGGGTGAACGAAAGAAAATAAGAATACAATATACAGGAGGGGCATCTAGAAAGAAGCCCTTTGCTTCAGACTGAAAATGTGTCTCCTACCTAATGACTGCTGTATAAGAGTAAATTATAAAAAATTAAGTAAATGACTATAGCTTGAGACCATAACTTTAAGTGAAATGAATCACAGGACACAAGTTTAAATATCACGTTGTTTCTCTTGAGTGAGAAAAGCAAAGGATAAATAAGGAGCGAAATGGAACGCAGCCGTAGGGAAGAAGGAAGAAAATGTTCAAATGGGAAGGGGAGAAGGGAGGGGGAAGGGGAGGGGGAGGGGGAGGGGGAAGGAAGAAAGGAAATAGGGATGTAAAAATTAAAAAGAATGGAAGGAAAACAATAGGAACAGAGTTTTGTAAGTGGAGAGGGGAAGAAGGATTGAAAAGAAGGGAGGGGAATGGGCAAAAAGAATCAAGATATACAGGTCGGGCATGGTGGCGCACACCTGTAATCCCAGCACTTGGGAGGATGAGTCAGGAGGATTGTTGCAAGTTCAAGACCAGCCTGGGCTACAAAGTGAGCTCAAGGCCAGCCTGAACTGCACAGTGAGACCCTGTCTCAAAAAGACTGAAAAAGAAAAAAAGAATCAAGATATATTATGTGCCATGCCCATAGGGAACACTGCTTTCCTTTCCTGGTAGGGAAAGGATGGGGAGCCATACATTACTCTAGCATGGTGACTGCCCGAGGGTTTCTCTGCTCATCGTCCCTGTCCTCATGGTCTGAGTCTCTTTGAGCACAGAACCCTCTACAGTCTCCTTCTCTGTCCTTTCCATAGATCCGGCCAGATCTGTATTCATGCACCACACAGTGATCCCAAAACCACATGCCAGAGACCTGGCTGCTAACGCTCCCTGTCTTCATGGTACCAGGTCCCAGCCTCATGGCTTCCCTCTGCAGCGCATGCCTGGTCCCATTCTCCGTTCCCCCAGCCCAGGCTTCTGTGCGACTTCTCCCAGTCCAGGCCTCCAGCTGCCCTTTCCAGCCAGGCTGAGCAGTCCCTCAGTTGCTACCCGCAAGATCAGCCCTGGGAAACAATGCTACTTTTGGAGTCTCACAGTCTTTGCAGTCCCTGCCCCTGGGCAGAGCACCCAGAATCCTCTGGGATGAAACAAAAGGCCAGGCAAATGTCTGTTCTCTACTGAGGTGAGTCCCCTCCATCTCTCATATGTGCTAGACCTGGTTTCCATGAAATCTCTTACCCCAGGGACGAGACTTCAGATCTAGTCAGAAAGGATCCCTTCGGACATCGTGTACCCAAATCATCAGGACCCTGAGTCATTTCCTTACAGTCCCCAAGGCCTGTGGTCAAGTTCAAAGTTTTCTTCATGCGGGTCCACATAACAAAGAATAAGAAAAATTGTAAGAAAAAATAGTCACTTCCTTGCTGTTACGCTTTCACAGCACCTTACTTGCCGCCCAGTATAAAATGAAATTCTTTACACTCAGAACTGAGTATGAGTGCGTGACGACCCTGCACTTGGAAGGGGCTTGTGGCCTCTCTGTGAGAAGGAAGTCACAAAAACATTCATTGTTGTTACTGTTTCATAATAATTTCATTTTTACATGGTGGACGATGCTTTTGTTTACCCTTTATTGGACCTAGGCTTCTGCTCTTCTCTGAGTTCAGCTAACCCGTTCACACTAGCTTACAGCAAGCACGTCGTTAGAAAGATGACAGAATGTGGGGGAAAGATGAGAGAAAGTTGCTTGGATTAGTTTATAATCCATAAAGAGATGCCTTTGAATCACGTAAAATGT